TGGTTCAAGTGGTAGAATACTTTCTTAGCAACAAGCAAAGGCTCCGAGTTCAATCCCCAGTACAGCCAAAAAAAAGGAAGGGCTGAGTCCCAATATTTCCTCTAAGGTCACACCCCCCACTGATCTAATCTTCTACTAGTCTCATTCCTAAATAGCTCAATTGTGTGTGTGTGTGGTGGTAGAGTGCTTGCCTTCCATGCATGAGGTCCTGGGTTCGATTCTTCAGCACCACATAAACAGAAAAAGCCAGAAGTGGGACTGAGGCTCAAGTGGTAGAGCCCTGGTCTACAGCTGAAGAGCTGAGGGACAGCGCCCAGGCCCAGAGTTCAGGCCCCACAACTGACAAAAATAAAAAATAAAAAAGTGTGTGTGTGTGTGTATGTGTTGGTCGTGGTACCTGAACTCTGGGCCTAGGCACTGTCTCTCAGCTCTTCAGCTCAAGGCTAGCGAGCACTCTACCACTTTAACCACAGCACCACTTCTGGCTTTTTCTGCTTCTGTGGTGCTGAGCAATTGAACCCAGGTCCTCATGCATGCAAGGCAAGCACTCTACCACTGAGCCACTTTCCCAGCCCCACCAAAATTTCTTCCTGAAGAAATCTTCTTTAAAAGTGATACCATATCACAATAGCACCAAAGCTTGATGATTGGGCTTTAACATTTTGTAGAGTATTTAAAAACCAAACTACAAAGCAAGAGGCATGACTCAAGTAACTCAAGGGCCTTTGTTCAAATCCCAGTACCACCAGCACCAAAAATCATATTGAAACAAAAAATCTATAACCAACTGGAAGCTGGTGGCTATCACTTGTAATCCTAGCCACAGAAGGCTGAGATCCTGGTTGAAGCTAACTTGAGCAAAAAAATCGGTGCTACTCTTAAATCTCCAATTAACCAAAAAGCCAGAAGGGGAGGTGTGGCTTTAAGAGTAGAGCTAGCCTTGACAGAAAAAGCCAAGCAGAGTATAAGACCTTGAGTACAAGCTTCAGTACCAACATGTTAAAAAAAAAATCTAGGGCTGGGAATGTGGCTTAGTGGTAGAGTGCTTGCCTAGAATGCACGAAGCCGTGGGTTCGATTCCTTGGTACCACATACACAGAAAAGGCCATTGGGGCACTGTGGTACTGTGGCTCAAGTGTGTAGAGTGCTAGCCTTAAGCAAAAGAAGCTCAGGGACAGTGCCCAGGCCCTGTCAACCCCCAGGAATGGCAAAAAAAAAAAATCTTTAACTACTCCATCAGAACTTTTGTTTATTGTCAATATACTGAGGTAAGGGAGTAAGGAAATCCAAGAATGCTCTTGGGTTTTAACAACAACGGTAACAATTACAACAACTACACAACAATTATACAATTATACAACTATAACAAGAAACAAGTGTAAAGTTATCTTTTGTTATCCAGATCTAATCCTGTGGATCATAAATTTTTTGACAATAAACATCTATATTCCATTAATTAGGTATGAAAAATAGTAACATTCTCAACCCACCCCAAACCCCCAGCACGCTTCTCAAATCTCAGTACAATTCCTGGAACAATCTACCAAGGATTTCACATTAAGTACAGCATTAAAATCCCCCAATTACATATTTATTTAAAACTTAATGAGCTCATTAATAGACATGGTAGTATGTAATATACAGCAGTACTAGGCAGTTTTGGATGCTGGTTACATTGTCTTTTCCCACAACAGCAAGCACTCTCTGTCATTGCTTCAGTCTGAGTCCAGCCAAGGAAGAGAACACACAATTACTATTTTTCTTTCTGTGCCAGTCCTGGGTTTAAACTCAGGGCCTCAGATTACAGCCTCCTGAGTAGCTAAGATGACAGGTGTTAGCCACCATTGCCTGGCTCAGGGGAAAATTAAGACATTTTTACAATATGAAAAATGACTAGCAGTAAAGATGTAAGGTAACACTGTATGTCTGAATATGGGCCCTTTCACTCTAAGGTAGAAACTCATGTCAGTGTTGAGAGAGTTAAGGAAGACAAACCTTGGGAGTTGGTAGAGGGTTGGGGATGTGTGGATCTGGTGTGGGTAAAAAGCCAAAAATAGAAGGCTGCAATAAGATGATCAAATGGCTTGAAAGGCCAATGAATAATGTAAAACTAGTGAATTTACAGACAAAAATAAAGATGAAATAAAATAGCTCAGAAAGACAACTACATATGGACAATAACCATATAATAAAATGGCATCCCAAGTCAAAGATAAATTTAAGAAACTGTGTGCACAAGGGCAACTGGTTAACCAATTATAAAAAACTAAAATTAGCTAGGTATGGTAGTCCACACCTGTCAGCTCAGCAAGAGGCTGACTCAGAAGAATTATGAGTTCAAGGTCAGCCTGGACTACATACCAAGCTCTAGGCCAGCCCAGGGCTACATAGTATATACAAAAAGTAAAACTTTGCATGGCATCTATAACTTATCCATATGTAAGAATAAAATCTCAAAGAATCAGTATTTAAAATTAACATACAAACATGCAAATGCTAGTAAAAAAAAAAAAGATAAATTTCTCTATAACCAAAATTTAGAGAAATGTTTCTATGCCTTAAATTCTGAAAGCCTAGGAGGGTTGGTAAAATTGCATAAAATAAATGTTCCACATGGCATTAGAGAAAGGGGTGGGGGAGAAATGCTCTCCTCAAGGCTTTGTGCAAGCCAAGAAGTAAACGATGGCTGCTGTGTTAAAGATGTGCTGCCCAAAAACAAAGAACAGCCTGGCAAAGATGGTGTGACTTATGGGTTCCAGGTGACCAAGGAAATCTCTGATAGGTGGCTGAGCAAAGATGAACACTTCGTTCAGAAAAGTCAATAAGCAAACTAACAAACATCAAAAAAACAGCCCTAAGGAAGAGATTTCCAAGGTTTCAGTTTTAAAAATCTAATTTCTAATCAGATTTTTTTAAAAAAACAGACATATGGCCCATAGACGGGACATTAGTGGCCAAGAGTCTGGGGTCCTATCCCTTAGCTTTTTTGACTCAAGGCTGGTACTCTACAACTTGAGCTAACTGCCACTTACTGCTTTTTTTTGTGGATAACTGGAGATAAAGCTCATGGACTTTCCTGCCCTGGCTGTCTTTGAACTGTGATCCTCAGATCTCAGCCCTCCTTGAGTAGCAAGGATTGCAGACATGAACTACCAGATGCCCTGTACATTCAGAATTTTCATCCATTCTCCTTCTGCTCCATAAGAGACAAGATAGAATCCTTAGTGTCTAGCACAGGGCACAACTCTTTGAGAAGTCTTTTCTTCTCTGACACACCGCATAGTTATCTGTGCTCCTCAATATGGCTTGACTGTGTGGTGGGAGTATGCAGGCTGACTCTCCTGAGCACCTGTCAGTGTTCTCTTCCTGGAATACCCTCCCCTCTTCAGTTATCTGTCAGTTTGCTTCAACACTTGAAGGATTTCTAGGTTTTATTCTTACTGAAATCAAGGATCATTTCCTGCTTGGTCCCAGTGGCTCATGCCTGTAATCCTAGCTGTTCAAGAGGCTGAGATCTGAGGATCACAGTTTGAGGCCATCCTGGGTAGATAAATACAACAGAGTTATCTCAACCAGCAAAAAGCTGGAAGTTGAGATGCAGCCTAAGTGGCAGAGCACTAGCCTTGAGAAAAATAAGGCCAAGAGCATGAGGTCCAAGTTCAAGCCCCACTACCAACATCTCTGCTTCAGAAAGCCTCTCTGATTTCCTCTTTAGAAGTTTATCTTTCTAATGGCCATTGCATCCAGGTAGAACTTTCTACTCCTAGACCAACTTGGCTCCATGAACACAGGAATCAGATCTGAGTCATTTCTCTACAGCCATTGCTTGACAGTGCCTGGGCACTGGACTGGGTTCAGGCCAGTATCTATTGAAGGCACCACCTGTTTTTGTAGAGACCCATTTCTGGGGAAGATAGATGTTGGTTGGGATCCCAACTCTGCCACTTGATGACCTAACAAAATTCCTTATTGGTCAATAAGATAGCCTGTAGAATCCACAAGTGGGGCTTTTCCCTACCCAGTTTCCGGGATTGCCATCATCCTTTCACTCTAAGGAGAGCAAGAGAGGATAGGCCCCTTAATATCTGATTTCCCTGGCCTAAATGGAGAATATGGGATGATTTATCCTTTTCTGCCCTAAGCTAATGGCATCCTCTCCTCCTACCCCTAAGCCATTATAAAACAGAACCTAAAACAAGACCTAAATATTGATGTTTTATTTGTCAGTGAGGTGGGAAAGAAGGGGATATTAGGCAAGGTGATACACTTCTAAGCAGGGCACTGCTCCATGACCCCGTAGGGGTTGGCCTTGCAGCAGTCCATGGGAGAGAAGAGAGAATTGGTCTGCATGGCTCCCTCCTCTCTCCCACTTCCAGTGAGTCCAGTTCTAGGTTGCTGTGGCTGCCTGGGGTACCCATAGTCCCCTCCTGTGGTGGTACAATCTATCCAGGTCTGATGGGAAGAGCCAGAAACTGGGCTCATGAATGGATGATGCTAAGGAGAATCTGGTGTGGTACATATGATGTGTCTAACACAGCCCAGAACTGGGTTTTTTTTTTCACCCATTTTCCAAAAGATGAGATAAGGTATAGTTTCAAAGACCTTTCCCCAAAGTCACTGAGTGGTCAGATTCAGATTTGAATGTAGCTAGGTTCTAGAAACTATCGAAGTCCAAGATCAAGAACTTGGACTTTCTGCAACAGGGAACGGAGAGTCATTAGAGGGTTTCAAGCTAGGGAGTGGGGGGAGATAAAGGTTTAGCATAGCTCTCTAGCTCCCTGCTCCCTCTTCCCATCTGGCTAAATGTCAGGTGGCCAGAGGTGAGGGCATTTGAAACAGTTTGAGAGTTTTGAGGAATCCCTAAGCTTCATTTGGGCTTTGACACTGAACTCCTAGGTCTTCCTCTGGCTCCATCTAGACCAACACCTACCAAACAGATGAATGGGCCAGAGGCAGGCAGGATCTGGGCAGAGAAGCCAAACTGAAAGGGAGAGATGGACCTAAAGGCCAGCAGCAGGAGGACTGCCCATCTGCCCACTGTTGACCTGAGGTTCTGGGGATTCTGATGCTCGCTGATGAATCTTTTCGTGTTGCCTGAGATGGTCAGAGCGCATGAAACTTCGGCCACACTGATTACACCGATGTGGTCGATCTCTGGTGTGCCTCCGCATGTGTCGTCCAAGCTCATCAGAACGGAAGAAAGACCACGTGCAGCCTTCCCAGTGGCATTTGTATGGCTTCTCCCCTGGTGAGAGACAAGGGAGACATGGTATTCAAAATAGATTTAACCTAGCCAAGTACTAATGGCTCATGCCTGTACTCTTAGCTACTCAGGAGACTGAGATCTGAGGATCACAATTCAGAGACAGCTTAGGCAACAAATCTCAAGACTTTTATCTCCAACTACCAAGTAAAAGGCCAGAATTGGAGGTGTCGGCCAACTGGTACAGTGCCAATCTTGAGTGAAAGAGCTGAGAGAGATCTCAAGGCCCTGAGTTCAAGCCCCAGTACTTGTGTATGCAAGTGTGTGCCCATACACACACACACATGCACACAAAATAGGCCAAAACAAATTCCTGTATCCCTGAAGATGCAAAACTATGGCTACAGAAGTGCAGTCTTCCAATGGCATATTTATGCCACATAGTCTCTTTCTCTCCCATACTTCTTTCCTAATAAATTTTCCTACCATTTAAAAAATATACAGAAGTCTCATGCCTATAATGCTAGCTATTCAGGAGGCTGAGATTGGAGGATCACGGTTCAAACCCAGCCTGGATAGTAAAAGTCAGTGAGACTTGCATCTTTTTTGTTGTTGTTGGTTGTGAGGCTTGAACTCGACCTAAGTGCTGTCCCTGAGCTCTTCAGCTCAAGGCTAGCACTCTACCACTTGAGCCACAGTGCCACTTTTGGTTTTCTGGTGGTTAATTGGAGATTAGAGTCTCATGGACTTTCCTGCCCAGGCTGGCTGTGAACCATGATCCTCAGTTCTCAGCCTCCTGAGTAGCTAGGATTACAGAGTAGCTAGGATTATAGGCGTGAGCACAGGGGCCCAGCTTGAGAATGCTATTTCTAAGTAACCACTAAAAAGCTAAAAGTAGAGCTGTCACTCATGTAGCAGAGCTCAGGAGCCCTGAGTTCATGCTCTAGGCAAAAAAAAAAAAAAGGTGAGAAGACATGGATCTGACACTAAGTCAAAGCACTCATGGTTGGGTAGTCAGAAGATAAAATATTGAAACTAGTCAGGGGTGACTGAAATAGTGCCTGTCCCATCAGTCATTCTGGATGGTAAGTTAATGGGGTCAACAGAGCTTGGTTCCAAGCTTGGAAGAGAAACATAATTACAAAAAGCCTGAAGACTTCTCCATCCCCTCCCAACGTGGACACCTCATTCACCTGTGTGCTTGCGCTGGTGACTCAAGAGATGGGAGCGCTTGGTGTAAGCTTTTCCACAGTTAATATGCTCGCAGACGTAAGGCCTTAAAACTGGAGAGGCCCTTCTCTGAGCGTTGACGTTCTCTGCTTGCCTCTGTGGAGCAGGTGTTGGCTCCTCAGGTATGAAGGGGCCCTCCTGGGATACTGATTGGTTTACAAGAGAATGTTGGGATTCTAAAGACATCAATAATTGAGACTGAGCTGAAGGCATCTCCAGATTGTAGGGCTCTCTGTTGGACATCTGAACCATAGAAGGATGCATAGCCTGGGTCTCGGAGGAAGGCATGGTCGGTCCCAAGATCATTTTAAGTGTGGAAGATGTGTTGGTAGAAGGCACTGTTGAGGAGCCAGAATAAGGCATTGCTGGAGCACTGGGGTGGGAAATTACTAAGGTTCTACCAGAAGCTGTGGCTGGTGGCCCACTGGAAGGCATCCTTAGATGTTCATTGAAGTTCATGGCCACTCCTGGAATACCTGTGTCTCCTAGGGGCATCACCTGGGACCCTTGGCACATCATTGTCCCAGACTGGGAAGGAGACATTCCGTGACAGTACATCTGGGGAGGAATAGAAGCTACTTGGGAACCGTAGCCTGCTCCATGTTCCATGCTCCATGCTCCATGCAAACCCATTTCATCCACATTTTGCTCAGATGCTTTAGCAGCTAAGAGACGGTTCCTCCACATCTCCATGACCTGAGGAAACAGTTGGAAATTTGATAGGCCATGGTGCCAAGAAGTATGTACTGTACTACTTCTGGTAGACATAGATATATCCAAGAAGGATTTTGACTTCTCATTATCCTAGGAGAGAGAGAGAAAAAAAGTCAGGTGGCGTTCACTCTATTTTGAGTTATACTTTTGTCTCTCTTCCCATCCCACTCCCCATACTAATATAGGATTCTATCACCTGTGGTCTGAATTATCCTGCCTCCAGACCATACTTAGGCTTTCTATGATGTGTACAGGTCTGATGAGGAGTAAAATGTATTCCTCGATGTAACTCACTTTCCTACAGAGCAACAAAGAAAAAACATACTTCATCACCTACATCTTCAGCCATGTGTCCAGAAAAAGTGCCCACCAAAATTCCAAGTGACACATTAAGGGCTGGGTCAGTGGGAAAAAAAAATCTCAAGCCAGCTGAATGGGTGCAGAAAGCACACAGCTGGGTAGAGACTTCAGTAGGACCTGAACCTACAAAAATCTTAAGAGGCTGTTTCAGATGGTTAGCTAAGAAGAAGAGGATCTCCCCTGTGGGCAGATGTGAGATCAAGGAAACACTATAGAAAAAGACAGATGGGCTGGGAAGGTGGCTCAGTGGTAGAGTGGCTTGCCTTGCATGCATGAGACCCTGGCTTCAATTCCTCAGTACCACAGAAGCAGAAAAGGTCAGATGTAGAGCTCAAGTGGTAGAGTTAGACTTGAGCTGAAGAGCTGAAGGACAGTGCCCAGAGTTCAGGCCCCATGACCAAGAAAGAAAGAAAAGAAAAAGATGGGAAAAATACTTAAAATGAATGAAGGCTTGTCAGGAAAGTTAAGAGCGGTGCCCCTTGATGACTGACTGGTAGAAGGGGAGGAAAGTGGTAGTGGAAGCTGTCTTGAGCCATGCTTTCAGTTCTAGCTTTTTGCTGATTAATTGGAGATAAGAAAATTTCCCTAGAATGGCTCCAAACTTGGATCCTCTCAAATCTCAGCCTCCTGAGGAGCTACGACTACAAAGTTAAGCCACCAGGGCCAAGTCCAATTGTTTTTAAAACCTATTGCTGCAGCATTAGAAAAGGGAGTTCTTGGGCTAAGAAGCCGGGATGGCTACCCTATTGGCTCCCATCCACTCCTCTATTAAGCTGGTCCAGAAAAGAACTGGAGGCACTTATCTGGGTACACTTATCTGCAATTAATCAGCAAAAAGATGGAAGTGGAGGTGTAACTAAAGTGATGGAGTGAAAAAGCATGAAGCCCTGAATGCAAGCCTAGTATACGCGCACAAATAAATAGCAAAAGGGATAGGGAGAAGGCATGATGTGGCAGAGCACCTGCCTAGAAAGCTGAGTCCCTGATTTAAAGTCCCAATAACACCTTCTCCCAAAAAAAATTCCTCAAGCTGAATGTGATGATGCCTATCAGTTATCCTGGCCCTTTCAAGGCTGTTTTAGCAGGACTTTGAGTTCAAAGCCACCCTAGGTTACAGAATAACTGAAAATCATTATTATCCTCACCATCCTCATCATCATCTAAAAAATGTCCTTGAAAAATGAAGAAATTAAAACATTCTCAGAGCTGAGAGATCATTGCCATTTTATCTTCCCTGTAAGAAAAGCTAAGACAGTCCTTCAGGATGAAGAGAAAGGACACAGACAGTAGCTTGGAATCACAATCATAAAAGTTATTATTATTGTAACTTTAGTTTTTAACTCCACTTTTTGTTTTCTACACAATTTAAGAGACTAATGCATAAAGATTATAAACCCATATTTCTGAGCCTATAATGCATAAAAAGTGTAATGCTATAAAGAATAATATAATACTGTAAGTATCTGTGCTATTCAGAGTTAAGCTGGTATAAATTCAAATTAGTGTTATAACTTTAGAATGTCAGCTGTAATCCCCATGGTAACCACAAAGAAAATAGTTACAGAATACATACAAAAGGCAATGAGGGGGGAATTTATGGTTTTACATCAAGGCTGAGGATGTAGCTCGGAGGTAGAAAGCTTGCCTGTCATGTATAGGCCCCGGTTTGATCCCCAGCACCTCAAAACATAGCCAGGCTCATACCTATAATCCCTAGTTACTCATGAGACTGAAATCCAGAGGATCAAAGTCTGAAGCCAACCAGGGGAGAAAAGTCTGAGATATTTCAAAATAACCAGTAAAAAGCAGAACTAGAGGTTCAGTGGTAGAGCCCCAGCTGGGCAATCAAACTAAACAAGTTCAAGGCCCTGAGTTCAAACCCTACTAACACACACACACACACACAAAGGAGAAACAAAAAAATTAACTAAACAGGGGCTGGGAAGGTGGCTTAGTGGTAGAGCGCTTGCCTTGCATGCATGAGGCTCTGAGTTCGCTTCCTCAGCACCACATAAACAAAAAGAAAAAAAAGCCGGAAGTGCTGTTGTGGCTCAAGTGGTAGAGTGCTATCCTTGAGCTCAGGGACAGCACCTAGGCCCAGAGTTCAAGCCCCATGGCCAACAAAAAAAAAACAATAAATAAACAAACAAAAAGGACAATGTAGAAATAAAGGACCAACTGACAGAAAAAGCCAGAAGTGGCACTGTGACTCAAGTGTTACAGTGCTAGCCCTGAGCACAGAGAGGCTCAAGGACAGAGCCCAGGCCCTGAGTTCTAACCCCAGGACAGGCAAAAAAAAAAAAAAACTTACAAGATACAGGACATTTATCTATTAGTAAAGGGTCTAATACAACAAGATAAAATAATAAAGATCTATGTACCGAATAGCCATCAACACACACAAAACAAAGGCTACGAATGAAGAGACAAACAGTTCTGTAACAATAGTTGGAGACTCCAACACCTTACTCTCAACAATGGATATAACAGAAGTAAAAAGGACTTGAAAAATAACCAAGTAGATCTAAAGACATACACAGAACATTCTACCAACAACAGAATTCACATTCTCCTCAAGAATGCATAAGGCATTCGCCAATACAGATCATGACAGTGTACAAGCCATTCTCAACAGACAGGGAAAAGTTTATAGCTATAAAAGCCTAAGATCTCAATCTAGCTTTGTACCTTAAGGCACTGAAAAGAATAAACCAAAAAGCTAGTAGGATGAAGGACATAGAAGAAAAACAATGAGGCTAAAAGTTGGTTCTTAGGACTAATAGACAAAACTGCCAAACCTTTAAATAAAGATGATCATTGACAAGAACTGTAATTACAGTACATAAGAGATTGGATAAGCTAGATGCAATGAACAAAATCCTAAGAATGCAAAATCTTTCTTTTTTTTTTTGGTCCAGTCTTGGGGCCTGAAATCTGGGCCTGGCCACTGTCCCTCAGCTCTTCAGCTCAAGGCTAGCACTCTACCACTTGAGACACAGAGCCACTTCCGGCTTTTTTCTTTTCTTTTCTTTTTTTGTGTGTTGGTTGTTTTTGCTTATGTGGTGCTGAGGAATCGAACCCAGGGCCTCAGGCATGCAAGGCAAGCACTCTACCACTGAGCTACCTTCCCAGCCCAAAATCTTTCATGATTAAATTGCAAAGAAATTGAAAACAGATTAGTTATCAAAAGCCTTTCAGACAAAGAATCTAGACTTGATGATTTCAACAATGAACTTTACTCACTACTCACAAGAGTGTTGTTGGTTTTGTTGTGGTGGTTGTTCTTTTGCCAGTTCTGGGGCTTTAACTCAGGGCCTGAGCACTGTCTCTGAGCTTCTTTTGCTCAAGGCTAGCACTCTACCACTTGAGCCACAGTGCTTCTGGCCTTTTCTGTTTATGTGGTGCTGAGGACTCAAACCCAGGGCTTCAAGCACGCTAGGCAAGCACTCTACCACTAAGCTACAATCCCAGCCCAAGAGTGTTTTATTATTTCAGTCCTCATTTTATTTATCTGTTCTATCCAGGCACGATGGCATATGCTTACAAATGCCAGGATTTTTCTTTTTGTCAGCCATTGGGCTTGAACTCAGGGCCTGAGTGCTGTCCCTGAGCTTTTTTGCTCAAGGCCAGTGCTCTACCACTTTAAACCAAAACTTTACTTCTGGTTTTCTGGTGGTTAGTTGGAGAAAAAGAGTCTCACGGACTTTCCTGCCTGGGCTGACTTCAAACCATGAGCCTCAGATATCAGTCTCCTGAGTAGCTGGGATTACAGACATGAGCTACCTGTGCCTGACTCTATTTTTAAAATAGAGTCCTAGGCCAGGTACTGGTGGCTTATGCCTGTAATCCTAGTTACTCAGGAGGCTGGGGTATGAAGATCAGGGTTTGAAGCCAGCATGGGCAAAAGAAATCCTCGAGACTCTTATCTCCAATAAACTACTCAAAACAGCTGGAAGTGTCACTGTGGCTCAAATGGTAGAGCACTAGCCTTAAATACAGAGAGGCTCAGGGACAGCCCAAGTCCTGAGTTCAAGCTCCAGGACCAAAAAAAAAAAAAAAAAGGACACAAAAGGGATTCCTACCAGCCATAGTTATGACAATTTCAGAATCAAAAAATAAAATAAAATATGGGCACTGGTGGCTCAAACCTATAGCCCTAGCTACTGAGGAGGCTGAGACCTGGAAGGTTCAAAGCCAGACCAGGCAAAAAGGTCTATGAGACTCCATCTCCAAAATAATTAGAAAAAAAAGGATGGATGAGAACCATGGTTCAAGTGGTAGAGTGCCAACATTAGCAAGCAAGCTCAATGAGTTTGAGGCTTTTTGTATAAAATCAGAGCCAGCCAAATTAATAAATATTTATAAATAATTTATTTAGGAGCTGGGAAGATGGCTCAGTGGTAGAGTGCTTGCTTTGCATACATAAGGCCCTGGGTTCCATTCCTCAGCACCACGTAAGCAGAAAAAGCCGAAGTGACTCTGTGGCTCAAGTGGTAGAGTGATAGCCTTGACCTGAAGAACTGAGGGACAGCGCCCAGGCCTAGAGTTCAGGCCCCATGACCAACCAAAAAAAATTTATTTATTTATAAATGAATAAATAATAAAGCCAAGCTTTGGAGGCTTGGCTTAAGTGGGGGGGGGGGAACAAAACACCTATCTAACAAGCAAGAGGATCTGAGTACTGCCAAAAATGAAAATAAAGTGGAAAAAATAAAGAATGGTAATTGAAAGAATGAATCTTTGAGCCCAAGATAACAAAAAGCTACCTTCTATTTCAGCTTTGAATGTTATTCATTAAAATAAAAGAATTAAGCCTTTATTCTGTCTTTCCAATAGGAAATTTGTTTCAGAGTTACCAAATGAAGGCTGGAAGTATTGTTTAGTAGTACTTGTTGAACGTGTCTGAAGCCTGAATTCAAAGCATACAATCAAAAAAGTTTAAAGAACTCTAGAGGTAATACTAGAGCAAGAATATTAAGCTAAATTATATCATTAAAAACCAACCTAGGGCTGGGAAGGTGGCTCAGTGGTAGAGCACTTGCCTTGCATGCATGAGGCTCTGGGTTCGATTCCCCAGCACCACATAAGCAAAAAAGAAAAAAAGCCGGAAGTGGCACTGTGGCTCAAGTGGTAGAGCGCTAGCCTTGAGCTGAAGAGATGAGGGACAGCGCCCAGGCCCAGAGTTCAGGCCCTGCGACTGGACCCAAAAAAAAAAAAAAAACCAACCTAATAAATCCAGAAAGTAGAAGACAATAGAATCACAAAAAAAAACAAATATCAAATGTCAATCCTAGAAGAAAAGGAAATTCTTACTTCAAAGATGCTCAAGAACTTATCAAATGCAGTGCTGCTTTTTTTTTTTTTGCCAGTCCTGGAGCTTGAACTCAGGGGGTGACACTGTTCTTGGGTCTCTTTTGCTCAAGGCTAGCAATCTATCACCTGCGTCACAGTGCCACTTCTGGTTTTTGTGTGTATATGTGTATGTGCTTAATTGGAGATAAAAATCTGATGGACTTTCCTGCCCTGGCTGGTTTGGGGAACCTGGATCCTTAGATCTCAGATCTTTAGTAGCTAGGTAGCTAGGATTACAAGCATGAGCCACTAGTACTAGGCACAGTGTGCTTATCTTGAAACTGAATAAATGGCTTTGTACATACCAGCTGAAAAGGACATTTTAGCAACATGTAAAAAACCTTGAGTAATGATTGAATCTGAAATGAAAATATAATGAACTCTAACAAGATCATGTTTTCTCTAAAGAAGAAAATGGACTCTTTTTTGAGCCCTAGATAGAAGACTTGGGAGGTCCCATCTGCTTTTCCAACACTACATGCTGAGCAGCCAGCATAAGGTGGATACCTAGGAACACTAAAGACTATTGGGTGGTATTTCTGGGGTGATCTGCCTCATTGTCCTCCCTCTCAGGAGTGGCTCTCATTTTCCAATCTCTCAGAGGCCAACATTTTTAGAATAATCTAAACACATCTTCATGGCTCTCTTGCCTAATCATTCTCCCCAGTTTTCTCTGGCCCTCTTTTCTCCAGCTTTTGTAAAGGTCTCTGATGATCTCCATATCACTAAGACTAAGCAGTTGCACCTCTTACACTACTTGGCCTCAGGACTGTGAGAAACTGCTGGCCATACTCTTCTTGGCCTGTGTCCTTCCCTTGGCCTCCCTACACACAGTACATGAACAGCCTTTCTCTTTCCCTCTCTGCCCTCCTCCAGTCTTCCTCCTCCACAGCTTTCCCTTGTATTCAAGGCATTTTTATATAACCTACACACATTCTCCTCTATACTTTAAGTCAATATTAGATTCTGTATAATAACACAATGTAAATGCCACATAAATACTTGTATTGCTTAGAGAATATGACAAGAAAAAAGTTTACACATGTTTGGTACAGACACAAGTTTTTTCTTGAAGAATATTTTTATCCTCATTTGGTTGAATCCACAGGTAAAGATATAGACAAATTACAAGTATCAATTATTGTTAGTTCTACCTCCATATATTTCCAGAATCTATTGTTTCTCCTTCTCCAGTCAGGCCGCCATTTTGATTCTTATTTAGATTATCACAATGGTTTTCTATTGTCTTTAACTCAGTCCCATCCTCCAGGGCATTCTTTAAAAGTGCAAATCTAATTATCTGGGAATAGCCAATTCCGTGTCAGAATGGCCTCCAGTTTCCTAGACCAGAAGTGCTTTAGCCAGTAGCTCTCCAGTGCCACTACAAATCTTAAACTCCTCTCCTCTCCTTCCTCCCTCCCTCCCTCCCTCTCCCTCTCTCTCTTTCTCTTTCCCCAGCCCCCAGCCCAGCTTGTTTTTTTTGTTGTTGTTGTTATTTTTGTGGTTAATTGTAGAGTCTCTCAGCTTTTTCTGCTTAGCCTGGCTTTGATCATCAGATCTCAAACTTTCTAAGTGGCTGAGATTGCAAGCATGAACCCCAGATCTCCAGCAAAGGGCTCCAATAAAAGTTCTATCTCCCATTCTCCTAACTTCCTGCCTTAGCTTCCCAGGGTATGGGTCCCATCTCTGTGGGGCACCGGTGGCTCACGCCTGTAATCCTAGCCACTCAGGAGGCTGAGATCTGAGGGCTGCAGTTCAGTGCCAGCACAGGCAGGATAGTCCATGAGACTCTTAACCCCAATAAACTACTCAGAAAACCGGAAGTGGAGCTGTAGCTCAGAGTAGTAGAGCACTAGCCTTGAGAAAGAGCTCAGGGACAGTGCCCAGGCCCAGAGTTCAAGCCCTATGACCAACAAAAGAAAAAAAAAGGCCTCAGGCCAGATGAGTTTATTCATCTTCAATAATTATTTGTGCACAATTGCCTTCTTCGGTCTCCTGCCCACTCCCTGCCCCCATTCCTTTCTTTTTTAATCCCTTAGGGAAATATTTTTTCTTTCTTTGTTTTTGAGCCACAACACCACTTCCGGTTTTCTGAGTGGTTTATTGGAGATTAGAGTCTCGTGGCCTTTCCTGCGCAGCCTGGCTTTGAACCGCGATCCTCAGATCTCAGCCTCAGATCTCAGTAGCTGGGATTACAGGCGTGAGCCACCACCGCCGGGCTGAAATAGTTTCTTCATTGAAAAACTTCCCCTCCCTTGACCGTCCTGCCCCCTTTTCTGCTTCCTTCGGCCTCCCCCACCTTTCCCCTCCCTCCTAGCTCCCCCCACCCATCACCACCACTCTGTAGCGGCCCAGGGCGGACACTCGCCTCACCTGCGTGGGCTGCTGCACAGCCTGCCACTGGCTCAGCTCCTCAGCCTTTTGCTCCATGTCGGCGGGGGCCAGCCGTACTGTGGGGGTCCAGACCCACGTCCAAGCAGAGGGGAAGTCGGCCTCGGCAGCAGCTCGCGCCGATGCGTAACCCAGCGAGGGCACGCCACAATCACAATCGCTTACTGAGCTTCTACTTAGCTCCGCGTCCGGGGGCGGAGTCAAGGGCGTGTCCGCCAGCCACACCCACCCCGCGCCGGCGCCGCCGACCCCGCCCTCTGCCGGCCCACACAGCCCGACTCGGTGCTGGGCCCGACGGGGGCTGGGCCTTGAACTCCCGGCCTGGCGCTGGCTCTGAGCTTTTCCGCTCAAGGCTAGCGCTCTACCACTTGAGCCACAGCGCCACTTCCGGCTTTTTGATGGTTGTCTTGGATTTTCCTACTTTGGCTGGCCTCTAACCACTATCCTCAGATCTCAGCCACCTGAGTAGCTAGGATGATAGGTGTGTATCATCAGAGCCTGAATTCTGTACCACTTTTTTTGGAGGGGTGCTAGTCCTGGGGCTTGAACTCAGGGCCTGGGTGTTGTCCCTTAGCTTCTTGTGTTCCAGGCAAGGGCTCTACTACTTGAGCCACAGCACCATCCCTGGCTTTTTCTGTTTATTTGGTACTGAAGAATCAAACCCAGGACTTCCTGCGTGCTAGGCAAGCACTTTACCACTAAGCCATATTCCCAGCCCTCTGTACCACTTCTTCTTGCCCTATTTACCAACCTCTGTCTCAGCAGTTGCTTGACCCAAGGGGAAAGCTGGGGACACCAGGACTGGACTCCAGCCAGGCCTCCTTGGCATCAGAGGGAAGACAGGGGGAAAAGTCTGGCCAGAGCAGCAGGGCAGGTACAGGGCTTCTGCAGATGGAAGAGGAACACGTCTGTCACCACCCCTCTGGCCCCAACCCTTGCCATAAGCTTTTGGAGGCTGTACTAAAGCTGGGCACATGTGTCTCTTGTTATATGAATCACAGTCTGGTTGCTGCCACACTATCTCACAGACCTTACTAGGAATTGAACCCAGGGGCTCATTTTGAAACTGAGTCTCAGTAACTTTGCCCCTGCTCACTTCAAAGTGGTGATCTTCCTGCCTCAGCCTCCAGAGTAGCTGAGTCTTTTTTTTTTTTTTGGGGGGTCCAGTTGTGGGGCCTGAACTCTGGGCCTGGGCGCTGTCCCTCAGCTCTTCAGCTCAAGGCTAGCGCTCTACCACTTGATCCACAGTGCCACTTCTGGCTTTTTTCTTTTTGCATATGTGGTGCTGAGGAATCGAACCCAGGGCCTCAGGCATGCAAGGCAAGCGCTCTACCACTGAGCCACCTTCTCAGCCCATAGCTGAGTCTTATAGGTACATGCCACCATGCCCAGCAGTATTCTACAATGCTGACTATGTGCACACACACTGTGTGTTGGATTCTGTTTTGGGGAAGTAGAGATGCAATGGTAAATAATGAAGTGCTTGACCTCAAGGGATTTCCAGCCTCAATGGTCAAATAAAAAAAGAATAATAAAGTTAGTAACTAAATATATGGTGGCAGAAGTGGAGCTGTGGTTCAAGTGATAGGCGCTAGCCTTGAGCACAGAGAGGCTCAGGGACAGCGCCCAGGCCCTGAGTTCAAGCCCGAAGATAGGCAGGAAAAAATACACACACACACACTTTGGGGGTGGTGGTAAGATCTATGGAGAAAATAGAACAGGAAGATGTGAATGTTGGAAAAGACCATGTTGCTGGAGGCCAGCTTTGTCTACATGGCAATTGGCGTCTATCCTTGATTACACAGTGAGATACTGTCCAAAATTGAAGAACAAGGAAGAGGAGGGGGAGGAGGGGGGTCGGAGGAGGGGGAGGACGACGACACTATGAGGACAGTGATGAAGGGGGAACACTGGCAGCTCCGTTTGTAATCCTATCTACTCAGAAGGCTGAGATTGGAGGGTCAAGGTTTGAAGCCAGCTCTGGCATTAGATGTGTATCCCCAATTAACCATCACCCCCCCCAAAAAAAAGCTGGAAGTGGAGCAGTGGGTTCAAGCTGTAGAATGCTAGAATGCTAGCTTCAGGCAAAAGAGAGCAAGAGAAAAGAAAAGGAAAAGCTCAGGGACAACTCCCAGACCCTGATTTCAAATCCCAGGACTGGCACACATTAAATAAATAAATAATAAAGCAGCATCTTAGGAATCAAAAGTCTTGGCTGAAGTAATAGACTTCAGGTTTCAAGCTTTAATCCATTAGAATGAATGATGTCACAAGATTTGTCCTTAGGAAAAGGCTAAGTACAAATCTCTAGATACCTAGTCCAGGGTCTTGCACAGGAAGAGAAATACAGATGGCATCATTGAATCTACTTTATGCCAAGTCCAACTTTGCCTTACTAATCTTATTCTGCCTTTTTTTTAGAGGGGGAGGCCAGGACTGGGGTTTGAATGTAACACCTGTACTTTCTAGGAAGACACTCTACCACTTGAGCCATATCCCCAACTCTTTCCTTCCTTCTTTCCCTCTTTTCTTCCTTCCTTCCTTCCTGCCTCTCTTTCCTTTCTTTCTTTCTTCCTTCCTTCCCTCCTTCCTTCTCCTCTCTCTCTCCCTCTCTGTCTCTGTCTCTCTGTGTCTCTCTGTCTCTGTCTCTGTCTCTCTGCCTCTCTCTCTCTCTCTCTCTAAGATCTTCACTAGGCAGGCTTCAAAGTCACAAAGCTGGCCTCAAATTTATGATCCACCTGCCTCAGTCTCCTGAGTGTAGGGATTACAAGAAGGAGTCGCAGTACCTGTCTCCCCATGTTGCTCTTCAGTTGCACTGCTAGGGCTGGAGGTAGATTGAGAAGGTTGATGGGAAAGGCAGGACTAGGAAACAGGAGCACACTGGCAGGTTTAGAAAATACTGGAGAAACCTGGCTAGAAAAGATGGGCATAGTGAGAGGATCAGGTGAAAAGAGAAAGCGAGAGCCCAGCTTGAAGGCTCAGGCTTAACTTCACCATGCTTTATATAAAGATGCTCTGTCTCCTGTCAGGATGAAGACTTAAGTCAAAAGAACACTGTTTCTGGGGCTGGGAAGTTGGCTCAGTGGTAGAGTGCTTGCCTCTCATGCATGAGGCCCTGGGTTCGATTCCTCAGCACCACATAAGCAGAAAAAAAAAAAAAAAAAAAAAGAAAAAAGAAAAAAAAAAGCCGGAGGTGGCGCTGTGGCTCAAGTGTTAGAGCACTAGCCTTGACCTGAAGAGCTGAGGGACAGTGCCCAGGCCTGGAGTTCAGGCACCACAACCAACACACAAAAAAAGAAAAGAAAAGAACAAGCTGGAAGGGATGCTATGGCTCAAGTGGTAGAGTACTAGCCCTGAGCAAAAGCAGCTCAGGGACGTGCCCAGGCCCTGAGTGCAAGCCCCAGGATTGGCAAAAAACAAAAAACAGTTTCTAATATCAAAAGAAATTTTGATAAAACAAATTGCTACTAATAGGATAATAAATAAATTGCATATGGTCATATGAGTGAATTATAGCTCGTTAGGATGAAAGAATAACATGCATCATGTTTTGTATTTATGCACTTTTTTTCAGTAAGCCTATGGCCTCACTCTTGCTAGTCAAGTGCTTTGCCACTTCAGCCATGACTCCAACCCTGGTTTTGCTGGCTACTTTTGAGATAGGATCTTCCCAGCTTCTCCGGAACTCAATCTGTCTTTTGGTTCTCAACTTCCCACATGGCTAGGATTTGAACTCTGAGCCTCATACTTTTTTTGCTCAAGGCTGGCACTCTGCCACTTGAACCCCTCTTCTACTTCTGTTTTTTTTTTTTTTGCTGGATAATTGGAGAAAAGAATCTTGGGATTTTTTGCCTAGCTTAGCTTTGAATCCCAGTCCTTAGATCTCAGGCTCCAGAGAAGGTAGGATTATAGGATGAACCACCAATACCCATTTGCATTTACTGTCCTTGAGCTTTCTCTGCTTAAGCCTAGTGGTCTAACCACTTGAGCCACAGCTTCACTTCCAACTTTTCTTTTTTTTTTTTCTTGGTGCTTAATTGGAGATAAGAGTCTCACAGACTTTCCTGCCCAGGCTGACTTTGAACTATGACCTCATGTCTCAGCCTCTTTAGTAGCTAGGATTTCAGATGTGAGCCACCAGCACCTGGCTATGACAAATCTTAAAACAAAATAAATGGAGGGACAAAGGATAAACAAATGCAGCAGTGGTACTCACTAGACACTATGTTGAAAATGAACTATACAACTTGTGGGTTAGGATGAGAGGGAAACACTGGGAGAGAGGGAGGGAAGAGGTGACACTGTCCAAAAAGAAATGTACTCTTTCCCACAACTGACAAAAGAAAAAGAATCTACTATTTACCTGATTTATGTAACTGTAATTCCTTTGTGCATCTCCTTTATAATAACAATGAAAAATATTAAAAATATACAATAGATATTTTTATAACTATTACAATATGTAGTGAGGCTATAAAAACAGGGGAAATTAAGTAATAATTTAAGAGTAAGATTAAGAAATTATATATTCAACTAAATTGAAATACGATTCTGACAAACTTCTTGTTGTTGGTCATGGGGCTTGAACTCAGGCCCTGAGCACTGTCCCAAGGCTAGTGTGCTCAAGGCTAGTGAGTGCTCTACCACTTTGAGCCATAACTCCACTTCCAGTGTTCTGATGGTTAATTGGAGATGACTATTTCATGGACTTTCTTGCCTGGGCTGGCTTCAAACCATGATCCTCAGGTCTCTGCCTCCTGAGTAGCTAGGATTACAGCCATGAGCCACCAGTATCTGGCCTGACAAACTTTTGATATCAGCAGTAATTAGGTTCTACAATTTGTCAGCTTAAATATAAACCTCAAGGTCCTTAGTTAACTTTAAAACCTAAGAAAAATATTAAATACCTTCGCTTCTTATTTTTATTTATTAAAAATAGTCTGGGGGCTGGGAAGGTGGCTCAGTGGTAGAGTGCTTGCCTTGCATGCATGAGGCCCTGGGTTCGATTCCTCAGCACCACATAAGCAAAGTGGCACTGTGGCTCAAGTGGTAGAGCGCTAGCCTTGAGCTGAAGAGCTGAGGGACAGCACCCAGGCCCAGAGTTCAGGCCCCACCACCAGACCCAAAAAAAAAAAGAAAGAAAAGAAAAGAAAAAGAATGTATCTCTGTTCATGGAGTCACTCATTCTCATCATCTTTGTCTAATAAAATATTTGTATAAGGTGGTCTGGTCTGGAGCTGATGACCACACCTGTAAT